CTCGCCCTACCTCGTCTACCTTACCTTATTTCGCTCCCTTCCTCACCCTGCCCTGCCCCCTTTACCCTACCTCGACTACGCATCCTAACTTCGTCTCCCTCACCCTATCTCGTCTCCCTCACCCTATCTCGTCTCCCTCACCCTATCTCGTCTCCCTCACCCTACCTACCTCCCTCACCCTACCTCGTCTCCCTCCCTCACTTAATCTTCTCTCCCCTACACCCAGACCAAACAAGACCTTTTACTCAACCTTCCTCATTTATAACTAACTCATTTGCACTTACGCTCTAACCCTATGTTCATCTTCCTTACCCCTTAACTCTTCCTCTTCCCCTTCGTTCCTCTTTCTCTCCCCCCTCCTCCCCTTCATTCCTCTTTCCCTCCCCCCTCCTCCTCTTCCCCTTAATAAGTATACCCTTCCCTTATGCACGTTTCGTCCCACTTCACATGTCACGTTCTTCCTCTTTACGTGTTCCTCTTCTATCCACACGTCCCTCTTCTTCCTCTTCATTTATTCTCTTCTCCTTCCTAAGTCCTTCTCCTTCACACAGACACATGTATAAGCGTGGTCATTCTGGCGTCCTTGTTAATGTTTTTGTTTTTTTAATTTGCATAAACTTAACTTTTGGTCGCCGTCCTAACACTGAACCAAAATGACCAGCCTGGTATCATCTGTCTACCTGCAGCCCTAAGTTAATTGCGATGGCGTTATCTTAATTTTTTTTTTTAATGGACAAATATTCAAAAACTATATGAGACACTGTAAGGAAGCTTCATTATTTATATACATCAAGAACAATATTTTTTTTTTCATTTCACTAAATATTGTAAAAAAATAACCCAGGTAATGATTCTAATAACTATAAATTGTCATTACCATAAGATAAATTATAAACAAAGTAAATATAAACACCGATTGCAATTCCTTCACTAACTTCAAAATAACTTCCTTTTAAACACATTTTGATACTGACCCTCGCCCCCCCCACCTCCCCGCCCTGGTCCTCCCTCAGGTGACTCTCCCAGGACACACTGAGTCGCCAGAACTAGACTCAGGAGACAGCAACGTGGCTCTGAGTCAGCAGGTAAGATATCTTGTCTCCAAAGCTTTACACAGGTAAATTCTTCACTCGAGTAAATGTGATGGGGAGAATTTCTCTGTTACACGCAAAGTCTCTCTCTCTCTCTCTCTCTCTCTCTCTCTCTCTCTCTCTCTCTCTCTCTCATGCGTGTACTTTTTCCTCTTTGTTTCTCTCCCTCGCACGGAAACACCTCACCATAGACGCTCATACAACAGTAAATACTAACCACTTCCTCCCCATCATCATCATCATCATCATCATACCTCCTACACGCACGCACGAGCACACACCGTATAAAAATGGGGTGAGTGAGAGGGTGTGGTGAGGAATTGATCCCTCCCCCCCCAGCGGACAGTAGCTAGTTTATTGTGCACCCCATGATCATCCTTTAGGGTGAGGTAGGCGGTTGAGTGAATAGGATGAGGTAGATTGGGGGTGAGGTAATAAGGTTGGGGGTGAGGTGAGGTAGGTTGGGGGTGAGATAGGTAAGTGATGGGTGGGGATAGTGGGGAGATGGGGTAGTGGGGTGTGAGGGGTGGGTGGCTTCTTTTCCACCCCACTAAATCTGTCGGACTCGAAAACGACCAACAAATCCGAGCTGGACCTCTAAAACCCGTCCTTCAGGTTGGTCTTGCGCAAACTTGGCGAGTCAGCAAGTATATCCCCCCCAAAGAGACGTCAGCCACTGCGATTTTTCGACACGTTTAAAAAGATCTGTCCGTTCCACTCACCTATACATCCTCTCCCTCACGTGCATCCCCCCCCCTCCCACCCAAATCTTCCTCTCTCCCTCCTATGCATGCCTCCCTCTCTCTCCCTTCCACCTACCCCTTCCTCTCTCCCTCCCAGCCATGCCTTTCTCTCTCCTCTCTCTCTCCCACTCACGCCTCCCTCTCTCCCTCCCATCCTACGCCCCCCTCTCTCCCTCCCACCCCCTCCTCCCTCCGACTCCCTCAAAAAATATGATATTCATATTTTTCTCCAACTTACCTCGAGCGTAGCAGCAGTTCTGTACAGAGAGTGAGAAGACAAGGGGCGTGCGTGAAGGACGAGGGTGAGATCTCTCTTGATTGAAATTTCTTCAGTCCCACTTTATCCTTCACTTACTCAACTAATTAACACACACATACACACACACACACATTCTCACTCACTCACTCACCCTCACACGTCTTTCAAACTCATGATATAAAAGGAATTAACGCAACCAAATATACACCACAAACAAAAAAATTATATACCTTAAGAATCTATAACAAAATTATATCACCATAAAAATCGATATCAAAAAGAAATATTTATTTTTTTGACAATACATCAAACTCAATATGAATTACAGTTCTCGCAAAAAAATATAAATTAATATTTTTCGTTCGCTTCAGAATCATCCAATCGACTTAGCATGTTTACCTTCGATTAACGATATTATATTGGGATTTTCTTTACACTTAACTAATCTTTAAGTTGCTTTTCACTGTTAGTTTTTCTTTTCATTTAACGTGTATAGAATATTTCTCCATTTTTTTTTAATATTAAGCCTGAGTGAACGATATATAATGAACCATTTAAGCACACCTGGCTATTGGATCATTTAAATATACCTGATTGTTGTGTGTGTGTGTGTGTGTGTGTGTGTGTGTGTGTGTGTGTGTTAACCCCAGCATATGTTGACTCCAGCACATGTTGACCCCATGACATATTGAACAAAGGACATGTTGGCCTGACCATATTTTTACCCCAGCATATGTTGACTCCAGTCCTACATAATGCTGAACCCACCACTTATTGACTCCAGTATAAATGTCTCAAATTGTATTCCAATCCCTATGCACTCAGAGGCTTCGAGGCCAAATTTATGTCAACACGTAACTTTGAAAAGTTATTGTTGATATTAATTTTGTTTCACTTGAGAGAACCGTAATAACTGTGTTAATGGAAGGTATAAATAACGTGTTTGGTAAAGGTTCATTAGTTTAGACACACACACACACACACACACACACACATACACACATTCTATAGCTCCAACAAGCACTGGTTAATAGGGTTGACGACCGTAAGGAAGACGTCCTAACATACGAAATAAATTGCAATCCCGAAGTGGTTTTGGTTCCACGTTCCCAAAACCACAAAGCTTTCCACAATGGTGCTATCAGGGAGGGAGAGGTAGGAGAGGTAGGGAGGGTGAGGGAGGGAGGGAGAGGAAGGGAGAGGTAGAGAGAGGAGTGTACGATCTGGGATTCCACTGAAGAAAATAGTTTTGGATTGCCGACGGAGTTCACTCAGATCTGAATGCCACTCAATTTTCTTCCGGCTCCGAATGCAACTGAATTTCCATCAACAGGATGGAGGAGATTGGATCTTCTCGGGAGTCGCTCCATCTTGATACGACAGAGGAAACACCACCTCCTCCTGCTGTCTGCTGCTGGTGCCTGCTGTCTGCTCCTTGTGTCTGCTGCGTCTGGCGTTGCCGTAAATGTAATACGTGCTGCTGCCACTGACACTCATTTTGATTTATCCGTTCTGTTGCTTGTGTCTGCTGCTGGTGTCTGCGAGTGTCTGCTGCCCTCTAATGGTATTGTTAATATACTGTTTACTGCTATTTACTGTCCACTCTAGTGCTTTTGCTGTCAGCTGCCGATGATACTGCCTTTAACCTACTACCTGCTGGAACTGCTGTCCCTATTGTTAACATACCCTCTGCTGGTCCTGCTACTCCTACTCCTACTCCTAATGAAGATGATTCTACCGTGTCAACTCCCTTAACAGTAACTCCAGAACCTGTTGTTATTACCGTAAACAACAGAATAAACGGCTCTCTTCTACTACTCTCCCTGTTGTTGCTGCTGCTGTTGTTGTTGTTGTTTGACTTAATATATATTACAACCGGGAAAATATATAGTTGTCACAGTAAATCTTTATGAGAGGGGAGGAGCGATCATCCATCCACCCATAGTACTACTACAACTACTACAACTACTACTACTACTACTAATAATAATAATAATAATAATAAAAGTTAGGAGAATATAAACAGTAATAAACAAATATAACTCGATAATCAATACACCAAATCTATGAGCCAAGACAGATATTATACCAAGGTTCCCTAAGATTACAGTCACCAATCACAGGTCCAGGGCGCTGTAAACCCAGGCCAAATACACCTCCTCGCGTGAAAATTGATCCTTTGGGAGAGTAAAATTTATTGTCAACAAAACTTGATTGGGGTCGTCCTTCACAGTGAATTTGAGAATATCAGAGCAGCTTTGTGACGGCTACGGATGAGTTTTGGCCGTGAATGAGGACCGTAATGAAATGTTAGCCGGACATAACTTCTCCTTTGCTGCCGTCATTTGTGTTGAAATATATCTGAAGAGTCAATTTATAGCGCCCACTCCTGGCTTATAAGGTCGTTTCAGGTATACAATGATTACCTGGGAGGGAGGGGGGAGAGGGAGTGGGGAGAGAGATGGAGAAGAAGAAGGAAGGGGAGGGGGAGGAGGGAGGAGAGAGGGGAGAGGAAAAGGAGGGAGGGGAGAGGGGAAGGAAGAGGGAGGAGGGTTTGTGTGACCTCTGCACCCTCTAACACAGACTGTGACCTTTGGTGTAGCTCTATCTTGACCTCTCCTCGTAACTCCAGGAGGAAATTTAATACAAAGCCGGAAATAGAGTCATAAAGCTTTCCTTAGCCTTTGTTGACAGTGGTGATCTTCCTATACTCAAAAAGTCAGAATATTCTTCACAAAATGAACTCTGATTGTTTCACTTAGACAAACGTATCATCACATCTTCAGTAAACACAATACAATCTCTTAAAACTGTTTACGTCACCAAGTCCAGGACCAACTCTTAGTTATTGGACACCGTATCATCATCACAGTCCAGGGACACCTCGCAAATTATATTACACTTCAGGTTCACCCCGCAAAATCATTTCGGCCAGGGAGGCTGTGAGTGCCACACCAGGGAACACGTTCAGTGACGGCCACGGCCTCGTTAGTGCCAGGACCACGCCGGACGACCAGTGCCACCTACTGATAACTGGCACCGAGCGCTCATCACGGGCAGACACAGCATTAATGAATGTTACCTTGGGTTATGCATGACCATTTGGCCGACACTAGTGAGGCATTTATTAATTTAAAACAACGAATAAAACCCAGCCCACAAACCACTAACTCCAGTGTCTATAATCATCAACAAGACTTCAGGTACAAACACTTTAACACAACACGAAAACCTGAACCAATGGAATTACAGATATCAGGCCAAGTCATCTATACATGTTAACAATAAATAAACTTAAGTTACCATCTCTCGCTTATCAACACTACCATAACATCAGACGAGTCAAAATCATTGGAAGTTACATCAACATTATATTTACGGATGGTTAGCAAGAGATCTCAAATGGTCAGTCGTATATACCTGAGAGCTGACAACCACAAACCATCCTTCCCCATACACAACCACAAACCATCCTTCCCCATACACAACCACAAACCATCCTTCCCCATACACCACCACAAACCATCCTTCCCCATACACAACCACAAACCACCATCCTTCCCCATACACAACCACAAACCATCCTTCTCCATACACAACCACAAACCATCCTTCCCCATACACAACCTAAACCCATACACAACCACAAACCATCCTTCCCCATACACAACCACAAACCATCCTTCCCCATACACAACCACAAACCATCCTTCCCATACACAACCACAAACCATCCTTCCCCATACACAACCACAAACCATCCTTTACATACACAACCACAAACATCTTCTCATACACAACCACAAACCATCCTTCCCCACACAACCACAAACCATCCATATACACAACCACAAACCATCCTTCCCATACACAACCACAAACCATCCTTCCCCATACACAACCACAAACCATCCTTCACCATACACAACCACAAACCATCCCAAAAACCCCAACAAACCCATAATTTTAGGACAATTTCTTCTCCTTCAACAAAATCAAATATATTCGCCAAGGGAAAAAAAATAGATCGGTTTTTTTCCGGTCACCACTTCACTGTTATTTTACGTGTCTTATCAAGTTTCAGTTTGTATGTGTGCTTTATCAACATGTATACAGGCTCATTAATTTATGTGTGTGTGTGTGTGTGTGTGTGTGTGTGTGTGTGTGTGTGTGTGTGTGTGTGTGTGTGTGTGTGTGTGTGTGTGTATTCTTACCCCATTCATTGATCTTAGTATTCCTTGTATCGTTTTAATCAGATTATTTTAGTCTGGGGTATAAATAGGTGTTAGTATCAGGTTTATACCAATTATAATCATGTATAATTATGGGTCATGTGTATGTGTTGTGTGTACATGTAACGTATATGTATTATGTGTATGTTAGGTGTAACTTAGTAGTGGACAGACAGACAGACAGACAGACACAGATGCACTTTCTCATGCATACAGATGGACTTGCTGGCAGACAGAGATGGACTTGCTGGCAGACAGAGATAGACTTGCTGGCGAACAGAGATGGACTTGCTGGCGAACAGAGATGGACTTGCTGGCAGACAGAAGATAAGACTTGCTGGCGGGCAGAGATGGACTTGCTGGCGAACAGAGATGGACTTGCTGGCAGCAGAGATGGACTTGCTGGCGAACGAGGAATGGACTTGCTGGCAGACAGAGATGGACACCAAACAAAAAAAATGCTTACAAACAAGACAAACACAGACAGACAGACAGACAGACCAGACAGACACAGAAAGTAACAATCATCAGTAGTCGCCGGAAGATAACAACCCCCATCTTAATCATCAACGCTTTTGACAGTAACGTGACATAAACCTTCCTTACAATAGAGACGAAAATCCTATGATAATGAGTACGAACCTTCACCCTTCCCAGCCTCATCAGTGAGTGAGTGTTAGGTCATTATTTTACGCCAAGGGGATAATTAAGTTGTTCATTATCACTGTTCTTGTTTGAGGGGTCGAGGGAGGCAGGCTGATGACACGCGCGTGGGTTTGAGTGTGTGTGTGTGTGTGTGTGTGTGTGTGTGTGTGTGTGTGTGTGTGTGTGTGTGTGTGTGTGTGTCAAGGAAAACACAGAAACCTATCACTAACCCTACTAAACTAAACCTAACCTAACCTAACCAAACCTAACCTAAACTAACGCCGATTCCGAGATTTAATATAAATTTCCCCCTTAATGATATACGTAATATGTCTGACCTGATTTTAAGGTTGGAGGTTGGGGTGGGTGGGGGGTGTTGGGGGAGGTGGGGTGGAGGTAGGGGATAGGTGGGGTTGGGTTTGAGGGGAGGGGTGAGGTTAGGGTAGGGTCAGGGTGGGGTCAGGGTGGAGGGTTAGGGGTACAGTTGAGGTCCGAGAACACGACCGAGTTTTTAATACCTCTGGTCCAAGCGCCAGAGGGGATTAGATTGCTAATTAGTTCGTGAATAATAGATGAGGTCTAATCTTACTCTACCCATCTTGTTCATACCTCGTCCAAAACCTTATTTTACATCACATTCTAGACACATTTTGTTTTGAGTCTCTTTTATTTATTTAGTTTGTTTTATATTTTGTCATAGTTGTATTTCTATTAGTTAAACTATTTTATATTTTATTATCTTATTATTATTTTTGTATTGTACAGTTCGATACAAAATAATTCATTCATTCAGTCAGTCAGTCAGTCAGTCAGTCATTTGGTCAGTCAGTCAGTCAGTCATTTGGTCAGTCAGTCAGCAAGTCAGTCAGTCAGCCAGTCAGTCAATAAGTTAGTTAGTCAGTCAATCATCCAGTCAACCAGTCAGTCAGTCAACATTAAGCACTACGGATACACCAACTATTAACCACAGGTGTTCTCTAGGAATTATATCACCCCTTCCTTCCATCCCCCTCCCTCCTCACCCCCTACCATCCCCTCCCTCCTCACCCCCCTCACCATCCCCCTCCCCTCCTTCCCCCCTACCATCCCCCTCCCTCCTCACCCCCCCTACATCCCCTCCCCTCCCCAACCCCCTCCTTGCTCCCTCCTCCTCACCCCCCTCTGTCCCCCTCCTCCTCCACCCCATGCCATCCCTCCCTCCTCCACCCCCCTACCATCCCCCTCCTCCTGCCCCTACATCCCCTCCTCCCCTCCCCCCCTACCTCCCCTCCCTCCTCACCCCCCTACCATCCCCTCACCCCTACCCTTCCCTCCCTCCCCTCCCCCATACCCATCCCCTCCTCCTCCACCCCCTACCCATCCCCTCCTCCTCACCCCCTACATCCCCCTCCCTCCTCACCCCCTACCATCCCCCTCCCTCCTCACCCCCTACCATCCCCCTCCCTCTTCATCTTATCCTCACGTCCCCAGACACTAGAAACATCTCACCCCCAACACACACACACACGCGCAGTTTCTTCTTCAATTAACATCTGTCTCTTTGCTCCCCTGTGGCTGTCGCCCTTCACTCACCATCCTCATTACTCAACCAAAGTCGTCAACCCGTCAACTCCCCTACAAGTTCCATTGGGGAAGAGGAGGAGAGGGAGGGGGAAGAGGGGGAAGAGGGGGGGGGAGGAGGAGGGGAAAGGGATAGGAGGTGACGCAAGTGAAATATTGTCGTGTGTACTCGATAGTTCAAAGGGCCTCCGACAGGGTAGTAATAGAACACAGACGTAGAGTGAACAAGAACGACGAGGGTGTGTCTCGTGTTCTTTCCCGATGTGTGAGTTATCTTCTGAGATTAATAACACAGACTCCTAATGCACTATGTGATTAATATAACTTGAAACAAACATACACTTATATCACCTGATGGCAGATATATCCAGTGCCTAATAATATACACTGGAATATATATATAATTCAACCTCTTAATGTAACGTATGATATTAATGCCAATAAAATATTTCAGTACGGTAATTTATGCTATAATCATGTTGGGGACAATTTTCTAATAAGCTAACACTTAATTCTGACAAGTTTATAGAAAAGTTCAAGGAAAACATAAGGGTCTGTTGAGGTTGTTATGAACACAGATCTTGAAGTACGGGAAGGCTTGATAGTATATATTGAACTTATAGACTCTATCTTCTCCTTTTCTCCCTACTCCCCAGCACTGTTTACCACTCTCCACTTACCTCTCTCACCTCCACTACCTCCCTCACCTCCACTCCCCTCCCTGCCTCCACTCCCCTCCCCTCCTCCCTCCCCTCCCCTCACCTCACTACCCTCCTCACCTCCACTACCCTCCCCTCACCTCCTGCCCTCTCCTCACCTCCTGCCCACTCCGCCATCACCCTCCACAACTCCCCCATCATCAGTAACCCGAGACAACCACAGTGACGAGGGTAGAGCCAACCGCGTGTGGCACCAGGCCTCCCCACACGTCTGCCAGTACCACAGAAAATGATTTAGGCATTCTCGAGGTGTCAGACAGGCGAAACACTTGCTTCTACGGTGTCAAGCGGGTGCCAGTGTCAAGGGCTCTAAAAGAGCATTCTTAGGGTGTAAAGCGGAAGAGACATTATTTTCGATGACTAACTACTGCTACCCAGGTGCTCGAAGGTAGCACTTCTGGATGCCAGATGGGCGAGGCACTTCTTTGTAGGCGTCTACAGTAACTCGCGACGTAAGGCCGAAATATCTACTGGACTCCCTTAAATACCTTAAAATATGAATTTTTTATACTGAAATTATTTAGTTTTTTGAATTATGGCCACAATCGGTTCAAAATTTCATTTGTGAAATTATTTCTTTATCTTCAACTTTTCGCTAACAAATTAAAGTTTTCAGTCCAAGCACAATATAGTCTAAACTTTCCTTGAATAACAAATTTCTGGCACATAAAGTAGAATTAAGAATTAAAGAGGTTCTGAAAAGCTTCTTTCAGCCACAGATATAATGTTAATCATAAACAATTTTCAAAATGATTTTCTTTGTGAAGAACGCGCGGTGTAGCCTTAACCTCGTGTTCCTGACCGTGTTTATTCTGGTCAAAACATATTTTGCTCCATGCGGTGCCTGCTGGGTGCCAAATAACTGTAATTACAAACCAGCAGTATATAGAAAAATGGTGCAATGTTAACCTCACTCAGCTCAGACGGCCTGGGTGGCTTGACACAGTAAAGTTCACGGGGTCAACATCCTACACTGGGTGTTTCCAGTAACCCTGAGATCTCTATTGACTTCTACCTTCTTCTCAACTTTAGAGTTGGGTTTTAACTGGGTCGACTAGAGGCAGCCACTTAATGGCAGGTCACGGGGGATTCAGACAGCGAAGTTAACACTACATCCAATCGGACATCACGGTGACAAAGATCAATAGATAATACTGATCACTTTTGCCAACAGGACCGCCAGGAGAATCCCCGTGACGAGGTAAACAACACGTGACCCTCCTCCACGGTGAGGGACAGGTGTTACATATGTTGTATTTAATGCTGCGGGGTGAGGCGCAGGTAGGTCAAACAATCCCCACTAATTCTAAGTAACATTGCAGTCCACCTTAGTCTCTCGGTCGGCCCAGGTGCAGAACACACACCTCCGCTGCAGTTAGGGAGATGAAGGTGTTAGTGCTGGAGGCTGCCTCTGCCAAGCCCGCCTGGCCTGAAACCTCATTTAATTTATTTGTGGGTTCGATTTTCCAAAGAAGAATTAAGCTATTTATTAAGATGCCCATGAGCCAACAGGACACAGGACCAGAGGAACAGCAACTCAGCAAGGACACAGGACCAGAGGGAACAACAACTCAACAAGGACACGGGACAGGAGGAACAGCTTGCAAGGACACAGGATAGAGAGGGAACAACCTCAACAAGGACACGGGACCAGAGACAACAACTCAACGAGACTGGGACCAGAGACAACACCTCAACTTGAGACACAGGACAGAGGGAAACAACACCTCAACAGGACACGGGACCAGAGGGAACAACACCTCAAAACAAGGACACAGGACCAGAGACAACAACTCCTTAAAGGACAGGGGACAGAGGGAAACTAACCTCAACAGGACACGGGACCAGAGGAACAACACCTCAACAAGGACTTGGGACCAGAGGAACAACAACTCAACAAGGACACAGGACCAGAGAACAACAGCTCAACAGGACACAGGACCAGAGAACAACCTCAACAAGGACTTGCGGACCAGAGGGAACAACATAATGGGGACTTGCAGGACTAGGAGACAACAACTCAACAAGGACAGGACCAGAGGAACAACACCTCTTAAGGACACGGGACCAGAGGAAACAACACCTCAACAGGACCACTGGATAGGAGAACAACACCTCAACAGGACACAGGACCAGAGGGAACAACAACTCAACAGGACACACGGGACCAGAGGAACTGCTGCCTCAACAGGACACGGAACCAGGAAACAACAACTCAACAAGGACACGGGACCAGGGGAACAACAGCTCTTAAGGACACTGGGACAGAGGGAACAACACCTCAACAAGGACACGGGACCAGAGGGAACCAACCTCAACAAGGACCTTGCAGGGACCCAGAGGGGCAACACCTCAACAAGGACGCAGGACCAGAGGGAACAACAACTCAACAGGACACGGGACAGGGGAACAACGGCTCAACAAAAGGACACACGGGACCAGAGGGAACAACACTTACCTCAACAAGGACAGGACAGAGAGAACAACACTTTTCAAGGACTTTTTAGGTGGTTGAAACAACAACTCAACAAGGACCTTTTGGGACCAGGGAAACAACAACTCAACAAGGACTTACAGGACCAGAGGGAACCACCTCAACAAGGACACACGGGACCAGAGGGAAACAACAACTCAACAAGGACACAGGACCAGAGGAAACAACAACTCAACAAGGACTGGGACCAGGAGACAACACACCAACAAGGACACGGGACCAGAGGGAAACAACAACTCAACAAGGACACGGGACCAGAGGGAACAACAACTCAACAAGGACACGGGACCAGAGGGAACAACAACTCAACAAGGACATCTCTCCGTCGCTCATCATCACTGTCAAATAAACAAATAAATCAATAAAATCAATTTTTCATATTCATCACATTTTGTACAAACTTGATCGTTTAAATTAAACTCTAGTGACAGCAAGAAATCCACTAATTTAACATGTTGTGTCGCTCACTGCCTGTGTGTTGTTCACGAGAAATTTCGTTGGACAAGAAATTAATGGATTCTTTCTTTTTATGACGAACGAATAAAATGAAAAATTATTTCACAGGAATTCAATTTGAACTGAAAATGTGAGAATTCATGAAAACACTGATATATATTTTGTTTTCCGTATTCACGCTGTGTCGAGCTGTTAAGAAAAGTGTTTCATGTTTCCCAGACCACTTACATTATGTATGAACACTTTACAAACACTAAGTGATATATTAGCCGTCCTTCCTAATGCACTTATTTTTTTTTAATTACAATTATATAAAATAACTCAGGTATATAAACAGACAACCATGATTTTTCGCCTCTTTGGATGGGTAAGAGGCTGAACCTAATTACAGTTTATCAGTACACCATACCGCTTACAATAATGACTCGCTATCTGATACTACCAACAGAAGGAAATATTCTTTAACATATAATTTCCTACATGACCAGACAACGCTAGAACGAGGACACGAGGCCAGGGAGCTAGACCAAGCGTCACCACAGAGAGAGAGAGAGAGAGAGAGAGAGAGAGAGAGAGAGAGAGAGAGAGAGAACAATTTCGCAAGTAAAGGTTCGTCTTCGTTCCTTCAAAGGCAACTCGCTAAACTTTCTCGTTACTCGGGCTGCGAAAGTTGATCTGGTCGCCCGATCTCCTCCAACTCCAACTACTCCTTCCTACTCCTGAGTGTGTTGGTGCCTTTTTCAAGTGCTTCTTTTAAGGAGTTGGTATACTGTTATTTGTATTACTTTAGGGTCTGTCTGTCTGTCTGTTTGTGGGGGAAAAACAGTGAAGTCCCTTTTATAGATTAATGTTTATAAGCTTTATGATCAAGCACACACACACACACACACACACACACACACACACACACACACACACACACACACACACACACACACACACACACACACACACACACACACACACAGATCGCTATAACACCCTACCACCGAGCCTGTAATGTGAAGAGAATAATAACACACATCTTTGTATTCATCATTAAAGTTACTGACATCATCCCGACTCTAAAAAAACAACAACAACAAAGACATCCAAAAATAAAATACAAAAATAAATAAATATCATAAAAAAATACGACCTTTTCCATTTAATGACCAATATTATTTTTCATCCAATCGTTTCATCAATACAAACTACCCCTTTTAGCAATGAAAATAATCCCGGTCTAATCAGCGTGTAATTTTAGATCAATATTGTACTCGTTATAATGATAAATTGCTTAACATTAATCACGCAGTTAGGGAATGAAAACTGTATTATAACACCCACACAAATATCATGGTACAGTCGACCGATATTAACCTTTCATAACTAATAACTGTGTAATATAACAAACTGAACCGACTGATTGACTGAACCAAAATAATTGTATTGTTAAATATGTTACTAAAAATAAAAAATAAATACGAGGTGCCACAAAAGTTAGTCAGCCAGATAAGGTATGGTGGAGTAACTTTTGGGACACACTGTAATACAATTTATTACAGACAGTATAGAAAAAATAATCTAAAATACAGGATGCCCCAAAATTTAATCAGCCAGGATTTATTAGTTCAAAAGTTCATTAGTTCACAGATTCATCAGTTCGAAATGTCAGTGGTCCAAAGTTCAATGGTCCGGAGTTTCACTGTTTTAAAGTTTCATTGATCCGAGGGTTAAGCAAATTCAAGCCTTTAGACATTCGGATCACTAAACCACCGAAACAACGATTCGTCAATAGTATAAAGCCGTAACCAAGAACAAGAACCAAATCACAACAGTATAAAACTGAGCACACTGTACAGTCGGGATCAAAAGTTCACTCCCTTCCAAAAATGAAGCAGTATCGACCCCAAATGAGATGAAACAACACACCCGCACCAGATGACAGTCAGGGTAAATAAAAGTTAGGAGACTCATTCCTGTGACCCAGTTTCAGCACTGACGGATGAGTGAAAACCATGTCACGTCAAATCATCATGTTTTGGCAGGTGTAACTACGAACACTTCCACGCTGACTGGAGTGTAATATTAATATCTTTAACTCAAGTAAGAATAATGGATTAATTTACGATAGAAATGAACGAAAACAACAGTCAATATAAGAACTCGCTAAGCTTGACTACCCAGAGCCGTGCGGTGATGTGAATGGCGATGAATCTCCTTTCTGCACAAATTGAAAGTTATGGGCTGACTGATGACACACGGGAGGGCTGAGCAGCGAAGAGAAAATGCCTGCCTTGGTAGTGCTGCGGGGACTGTGAAATGTAAGAACGGGGTATTGTGTGTTGTTGAAATGAAGTTTTGGCAACACATTAGTCTAGAGAACAGTGATATCTATGTATACACACAAAAGCCATGTTGAAGATGGTCTATGTATACACACGAGCCAGGTTGAAGAATGTCTATGTATACCCACGTGCCATCTCCCAAAGACGGTCTACTCATCTTTCTTGATACAACTTACCAAAGACGAGAAGATGTGACAGAAAAAAGTGATCCAGACGATAAAATCAAATGACATCTTGACTAACTAGTTCCAGTGTTTCTTTAAAAACTCTTATCTAAGTTAAGGAAGAATGTTTGGACTTGTTTCATTGTAGTTTTATGAAAAATCCTGAGAGACAAAATCTGTACATTTCCCATCGGTTCAAAAACAACACTACACCATGCAAAAAAAAAAAAAAAAAGCTTACCTGGGTTCCTATTTTTCCCTTTTTTCGTCCATTAGTCTGATGCCGTTCACCCCAACACTCACCTGCAATAAACAACAAAGGGCTTAACATTAATGTATTTTTATTTGCAATATATGATTCATCATAAATAATGGTATTGCAATCTTGAGCTCTTTTTTATTGAGGGTAATTAACCTGAAACACGATTAATGGGTAATATCCTATACAGCTATTAATGAGAGTACTCTGGAAGCTTTCTAATAGGTTGTACTTGGAGTCAGTAATATCATTAAAAAAGCTTAGTAGTGAAGAAACCTATAGCTTTAATAGTTGATGGTGGTTAGACTCTCCTAGTACAGCTAAATTAATATATAGGTTCAATATTATGCAATGATTATTAACCATATTGAGATTAATAATAATACAGGTACTACTACTAACAACAACAACAATAATAATATAAATAATAATAATAATAATAATAATAATAATAATAATAATAATAATAATAATAATAATAATAATAATAATAATAATAATATTAATATTAATAATAATAATACACCTCCAAACCCCGTCTCCCTTTATACCACCACAATTCTTATTGATTAGAATAAAACAAGTTAACAAATCAATACCCCAAACAAAACAAGAAATAAACAAGGGGGTGGGGGTATCAGTCTACCCAAGTGCCATCTCCCACAACCTGATCAAACAACGACTTGATATAATTAAGACGGGTAACAATCTAACAATCTTCTCGTTAGGGGGCTGTGACGACCTCATTACGAATACTGACAGTCATCTGATTAGGTCACGTGTTGATTAATTAGCACCAATCACAATTAGATAAGCTGTTTATCCCTTCACAGCACTAATAATAATAATCAGGTGATCACGTAATGGTGTTTGTTCATCACCCTTAATGACTCGCTTGACAAAAAAATATAAAATTGTTTCAACTATAAAATTTCAAGTATTGTTTATTTATTTACACATCCATACATCCTGTAGAAGACGCTGACGGGGATGACACAGTGACATGAGGTGACATGAGGGATCTTCACGCCCCCTTGGCTCTCGTGTTACCAAACCTGACATCTCTACTATTAAAGTCAACTGTCATTTTACTACTAAGGTCAACTGTCGTTTAAACAAACTCTGAATATATGAATTTCCCTATTAGTGAAAATGCTCTTAATATATAGTGTACTTATATACATTAAAACACAAATGAATAAATGCTAAACAAGACATAATAAATAAATGAATAAAAGGTAGGAAGAAGGAGAATCCTTAAATCAAAAGAGTCTGTTTTGCACATGCATCTGTGAGTGCACGAGTGGGTGGGTGTGTTTGCATAAGGTTCTGAGTGTTTGCGTATGCTTGTGTGTGTGTCTATGCATCTGTAAGTGCTTCCGGGAGAGTGCAAGTGCGTGTGCGTATATATATATATATATATATATATATATATATATATATATATATATATATATATATATATATATATATATATATATATATATATATATATATATATATATATATATATATATATACGCGTGTGTGTGTGTGCGTAAATTAGTTGCTTCTCACGATGACTTTGCTTCACCACCACCACTACCACACCACCCACCTGACACACACACACACACACACACACACACACACACCACGAATGATGACCCAACCTGACCTGGGTCATTGTATACAACTTAACCCTTTGTTATGAACTTTGTTTTTACCTGGCCACTCTGGCAGTAACGACCAATTAGTACCTGCCTAATTGTGCTCAAAACAATTCCACCCTCCGCGATTTTTTCCCCAATCAACAGGGAATTACTGGGGGTTATACTGTAAATTTTCCCCTGCCATGAGTGAGCCGGGGTGGTGTTACTGGGATGGAGAGAGAGGATGTGGTGTTACTGGGAGGGAGGAAGAGGATGTGGTGTTACTGGGAGGGAGAGAGAGGATGTGGTGTTACTGGGAGGGAGAGAGAGGATGTGGTATTACTTGGGAGGAGAGAGGAGGATGTAAAGCTACTTGGGAGGAGAGGAGGATGTGGTACATTGGGAGGGGGGAGAGATGTGGAAAGTTACTGGAGGGGAGAGAGGATGTGGTATTACTGGGAGGGAGAGAGGAGGATGTGGTGTTAGCTTGGGAGGGAGAGAGGAGTGATGGTGTTACTGGGAGGG